GGCCATTTACTGTTCTTTTATATAGCAAAACTAAGTTGGCCTTCCAGGACTGGGAGTGCACCGCAGATTCAACAACACCCCTTAAACTGACCTTCCAAAAAGTCAAAATTTCTCAAGCCCTGCTCTAGAAGCCTGAAAATTCTCCAGCCCTGCTTCAGTCACACACTGGAAGCTGACTGATCTATCACGGCAGAAGATTGAGGATTCAGCTTAAGAACTCAGCGGATATTGTTTTGCTTTGTGAACCTTTATATTTGCTAAACTGTTTGTCATTTTAATTGCTGTAAAACTAACTTTATTTGCTGTAAGATTAACAGAGTTGTTCCCATTAAGCATGTTAAAAAAGGGTTTCACTAGTGTTCCCATTCTTTCTTATAATAAAAAATGTTTCTGTGCTTTTATGTATTTGTGCCTAATTTGGGTATTTATTGCTTCCCTTACACACCCAACATGTACGTGTATAAAAACTATCTGGTTAGACATAAGAGTTTTCCATTGTTATTCATCCCAGCCAAAAGTTTGTTCTGGTGGCCAACAAGGCCTGTTTGGTATTGGACATCTGCTTATGCAACTAAATCTTCTCAATGTACTAAAGGGCTATTTTGAACATATAAAAAAGTTGCCTATGCCCAGCTCCCAGCATTGTAAAAAGACACATGTACCATAGGAATAATCCAACCAGGATTTTTCCTTCTGCCTAACCCAAGGGGGGATAAACTAGACATTCCCCTTTATAAAGGCCTCAAAACACGAGATGCTCGATCCCTTGACCAAGTTCCTAATATAGGAGGGACCCAGGTTTGAAAAAAATGATAAACGGCCACCCTAAAAAATCTGATTTTGCTGAGTACAACCTTGTAAAGTTCCAAAGAAAGTATTTAATCACTCAACACGACCCCCTCCCTTACCTAAATAAGGGTATAAGACCCCACTTCTCCTGTTCTGGGGCACTTGATTTGGACCCTCGGGCCTGCTGGGATGGCCAGCGTAATAAAATGCCACTTCCTATAATAGTCTCAGTGTCACGATCTCTCTATTTTTCTTGTTACAGTCAAGCTCAGGAAGAAAAGGAAAACATGAATTTTGGAATTTGGGAAGTAATTCTACAGTGCTTTGAAAATTAAAAGTAAAATCCTAGACACCCCCAACTGACTGAACAGAGTCTTTCTTGGCTAAGGGAACACCAGATAGACCTTAAAAATTGAGTTTCTAGCCATGTTGGGAATGGGAGGTCAGACATCCTTTTTTTATACACCCTTCCTTTTGTAGTTTAGACACATCAACTGACCAGCATTAATGTTAAAACAGAGATCATAAGACTGGTAGAATGGACTCTCAGTGGCAATAACATACCAAATTATAAACAATGCCAGGCAAGGATTAAGTCACACAACCCTACAATTAAAGAATAGACTATGTTCTAACTGCCAGTAGATTTTTTTCCCTTAGCAGTTAAACAAGTGCTGGCATTGAGAAAAGCAACATTAAGACAACTTATAGCTCATCCGCTACCAGATGCTGACTGCTGATCCCTGTTTTACAAGCCATAACTATAGCTTTGACTGGGCAAGAGATTGATTTCAGTAACTTTCTCCTGATAGGAAGACCACTGACTGTGGACTAGTTCTGGCCAATTTATAGAGGTTGTGCACATAAGTGCCTTCATGTCCCTGCTTTACCTTTTGACAGCATTAACTGTAACATATTTAAATGTTAAGTCTCCATCCCAAGGTAAACCTGGGTCATATGTAACATGCATGCTAATTCAGCATACATGTGTGTGACCTCCCTTAATGAGTATTCATAGTCCCTCCTTCAACCTGTTAAATATGTATACTTGGCCAATATGTTCAGCATAAACCTCTGTTCCACCCTCCCCTCCCTTGAGGTGTCTGGGCTCTGCCAGAAGCTATGCTCCCAGCCTGTCAGGACAGCCACCTTGCAGACTGTAACCTTTGGAGGAAATAAAATCTCCTTCCCAAATGATTATGAGATTTTTCAGTTGAAAAACTTTTGAAGAGGTAATTTATATTTTTTCTTGTTTCCTCACTGTTTAATAGGACACATTTTAATATAAAGACAAATGATCAGTATTTTATACACTGCACTTTCTTCAGAAATTCTAGAGCAAGGGATCACTTCATATTTCCATTGACAGTTCATTTCCAGTTCAACATTGCAGATTAAATACAGAACTATTTAGAAAATAGCTGAACTTTCAGATGACGTTGGCTTCTACTATATTGCAGAATTCAAGATTTCTCCGACGTTAATACAGAATCAAAAGTGGTGGGTAAAACTTTGTAAATTGCTTGTGCTTGTTCCAGGAGGTTGCACTGATAAACTCATAGGCTGTGTTCTTCATTTCTTGCAGCTGTGTTCGTCAGTTTTTTTCTGCCCTCAGACTGTTATCATAACACGCCATCCAGATGAATAAATATAGAACACACCTATGCAAAACACTAGACAGATCCGATATTGATACCCTATATCACATTGGGAAACTCTCATAATAAATTCTTACTCCAGGGGAATAAAATGTGACTTTCCAACTTGCTGGGTAACATCTATGTGATTTATAAGGTCTAATGGCCCCTCAAGACTTTTTCCCCTCAGAGAGTTCCAGTTTCTCAATGGCACCCACAGATTTTTATTTGAAATTCTGCACAGTTATCTGAATTATCATTGGCCCTGAGCTTTTGGTGGAAGAGTCTGTATTGAGGGTGGCCACAGTGCTCAACCATGAAAGACCCCCAAGTCTGTACTCTACAGACTTGCTCCTAGTACTGATTGCACTGCTATTGCTGTGTCATGTTTTGCCTTTCCAAAATATTTTCCACCATAACTTGATCTAGAGAAAATCTCTATAGAATAAATATTGTTTTACTGTCTTCAAAGGTTCCACAGACAGCAGTCTGAACAGATAGCCTCCTTTCATTCTTTCATGGTCAATTCTAACCAGAGAAATAATGTACCTTGCAGCCTTGGGCCCATCCTTGGAGCTGCCTGTGCTTTGTTTCTGTTGGAATTAGGACACATATTTTTTCAAAATATTCATATCTTTAGTATTTTTTCTATTAGAAAATGTCAGATATTAGAACATATATCTTTCTTGTAAACATTGGTTGTGTCTTTTCACACAGTTTAGCATGCATATATAAAAATTAGATATATTTATATATTTTTGTAAATTTAAGAACATATAAAATATATTTTTATATATTTTACTGTTCCATTAGGTTTTTTAGCTTATCATATTATACACAGGACATTTTTAGCTGGAGATGGTATTAAAGTCTGAAGTCTAAGCCACCTCTCGGAGAGTTATTCACCTCCCTGGGTATCTCCTGTATATGTATACATGTTAATAAACTTATGCTTGTTTTTCTCTTGTTAATCTATTTTTTGCCATAGAAACCCCAGATAAGAATTTAGAAGAGTAGAGAACAACATATTTTTCCTTCCTTTACATGCAAGTACACTAGGGTGTCCTGGAAAAGTCATTTTCCAATAGAATCAAGAACTGTCATGGGTTTTAGTGCCTAAGTGAGAAGTGCTTCCACCAGCTGAACCAATTACAATTCCATAAATTAAAAATTGAAAATGCTAGATAGTTACTACAGGATTCCTGATGTCACTGAGTGAAAGGCAAAAAAAAAAAAAAAAAAAAAAAAAGGTGTCATCTTGTATTTAGTAAGACAGTCAGTGGCAAAAATATATAAATAACAGTAGCTCTCTGTAACAAGTGATAATCAATAATAAAATTTAATGAAAATTGGATAAATTTTTTTCATTAATAACAAAAAGTACAATGTGTATTACACTTTAGTTCTAGAATGACCCTGAGACTTTGATTTAAAGAAAAAAGAGCAAAATTCTTGGGAGAAAAAAAGAAGATCCTGTATGGGGAGAGGAAGAAAACATATTATTGAAGAACCTAATAAAAGATTTGGATAAATGGAAAGATATAATATGCTTTATAGAAAGACTATATTTTCAATTGTGACTTTCACTCCAAATTATTCAATAAGAGAATTTGTTAAGGCAATTAAAAATTTTATTAAAAAAAAATAAATGAGCAGGAATGACAAAAGTTTGGAAAAGAAGAGTTGATGAAAAAAACCCAAGTTCTGTTAAATATTTAAGGAGGCTTATTCTGAACCAAATATGAGTGACTATGACACAAGGTATAGTCTTATGGATCCTGAGAATGTGTGCTCCAGGTGGTTGGGTTACAGCTTGGTTTTATACATGTTAGGAAGTCAGAAGTTTGCAGGTAAGAACAGAAATCAGTACATATAAGGCATACATTGGTTTGGCCCAAAAAGATGAGACATCTCAAACCGAGAATGAGGCGCTTATGGGTCATAGGTAGATTCAAAGATTTTCTGATTGGCAATTGGTAGAAAGACTTAACTTCTGTCTGAAGAATTTGAAGAAATAAATGCTTGAGTTAAAATAAGAGGCCTTGTGGAAGCCAAGGTTTTGTTATGTAGATGAAGCCTCTAAGTAGCAAGCCTCAGAGAGAATAGGTAGTAGATGTCTTAAAGGTGTCAGGTATCTGTAGGATATTTCTCTACAGATGCAAATTTCCCTAAGAGACAATTTTGCAGGGCCATTCCAAAATATGTGAAATAAATATATTTTGGGGTAAAATATTTTTATTTTCCTTAGGACCTGCTATGTGTCATGTGATGCTATTCCAAAGTCAGGCTAAAATTTGGTGTCTTATTTCCACAAAGTCTGTTTTACCAGTCTTATGAGCTCTATTTTGATGTTAATGCTAGTCAGTTGTGCCTAAACTCCAAAAGGGAGAGAGTATGATAAGATGTGCCTGAACTCTTTTTTTTAGCCTGAAATTTAGGTTTTCAGGTTTCCCTAGACCCAGAGAGGGCCCTTTTAGTCTGCTGGGGTGCTTAGAATTTTCTTTTTGGTACAGAAGTGTGATATAATGCTTGCACAAGAATAGGTAGAGTTTAGTGGAATCACCAGCACATTATATATCTAGCTGCAAAAGATTCTGAATAAGGGAAATAAAAAATGGGCTATGTTAACATAACAATGTTTCTGCTTGTTTCCTGAATTGCAAAAATATTTTTGAAATTCTTTTCAAAGGTGTTCTGTACTTGAACTCCCAGTCTGACGAATTTATCTTTCTGAAAAAGCAAAGACAAAAACAATAATAGTCATTGTTGAATGAGCTTAGACTCCCAGCGTTTCAGATAATCCACATCCTCAAGTGAGGCTATCCCAAATTTAAGTGAGTATTAATCCAGTTAAGAGACGCTTACGTTCCCTGATAATTTGATCACTTCTCTTTATCTGGAAGACAGAGAAGCAAATATAGTACTGTATTGCAGTCTAATTCTTGATCAGAAATGTATTAATTGATTTAATTTTTTAAAAACTTAGCTATGTGATATTTATACACAGCATATAATTTTTATAACAGTATGATAGTCCAGAAGTGACTAAGGAAAATTAATGGTGTCTTCCTTTTCCCTTTATTCTTACCCCTCGAGGTAATCCTTATTAATTTTTTATTTTATTTTAAAGATGTGGGGTACAAATCAGGGTTAGGTACATAAGTGGTCATCTTACAGGTGATGTTTGGGCCTCCCACTAGTCCTCACTTTGTCTGGTTTGGGATCAGGTACCCCTATTAATGTTATGTGCCTCTCCTCCCCTGGCAGTGATACACTACTGCCAATCTCTTTCATGTAGTATTAAGATAAATGTTCAGAGTCCACTTATGAGACAGAACATGTGGTACTTAGTTCTTTGTTTCTGTGATAGATCACTGAGTAAAATAGACTCTAAATCCATCCAAGTTGCTATGAATTCCATAATTTTGTCCTTCTTTATGGCTGCACAATATTCCATCATGTATGGAGCTGGGAAAGTCACAGGTAAAGAAATCTAAGACTTTGATTTGGTATCTTCCTCTAGAGAGAAGAAATACTAGTTGCTTTTAGAATGTGCTTTCATTTTCTGTGGAAAGAACAGATCTGCAACCTATCATTCTCTGTGGATGAAAATTAACTATCTAGAAGTGAGTAAATTCTGAGGTCCTAGGGTCGGTCATGTTTGCAGTGATACTCTCTGGTTTGTTTTAATTTTCCCCATATGCAACACAAGGCTCTTAGAATACTTCCAGAGTTTGTACTTGTGTGAGTTTGCCACATGATGAAGGTAACTGTAATATTTACTGGATATTAGAATATGAAAGGTAAAGTGACTTATTTCAAGGAAAAAAAAGGATAGCAGGGAGAGTCACTTACCTTGTAATATACCTTGTGCTTCTCAAAGATGAGGCGCATGTCATACACAAATCCCTTCACTTGATTGTACATCTTCTCAGTTAGCCTTTTCTTGACTTTGTTTAACCACATGGAGTCCTTTGGGTTCCAAAGCCCTTTTCTGCTCTGTTAAGGAAAGGGCCAAAGGGAGATTATGAACTTGATTTTAAATCAGGTTTCCACAGATTCCTATGGTTATGGAGTGAAGGTCTGTGGGCCCCTATTTCATGTGTGGAAATTCTAACTCCCAGTGTGATGGTACTAGGAGATGAAGCCTTTGGGAGGTAATTAGGTCACAAGGGTGGAGCCCTTATGAATAGGGTTAGGGCCCTTATAAAAAGGACCCCAGCGAGTTCTCTCCCTTTCTTTCTGCCATGTCAGAACATAGCCAAAAGGCGGCTCTCTGCAACCTAGAAGATGGCCCTCTCCAGAACCTGACCATGCTGACACCCTGATCATGGACATCCAACCTCCAGAACTGCGAGAAACAAAATAAATTCATGCTGTTTAAGCTACCCGTGCTAAGGTGATTTGTTATCGTAGTCCAAACAAAAAGCTCATAAACAAGGCAAATCTAATGGTAACTTGTGCTATGGGATTCGGTTCCTAGATCTGACAAATGCCAGTTTCAGGCTTTGTTTTTTTTTTTTGTTACTTACATAATATGGCTTTGAGGCAAAAAAGAGGCTTTTTGAATCACAGTAGACCTTCAAGAGGAGCAACTCACATTTCTGCAAAAGATAGAAAATATTTGAAGTGAAATATAGCTTGGAGACCAAGAGCTCATATGCATACCCAGAGAGAACACGTGACTCACAAATATGTGGACTCAGAAAAAAACATGGAATGGGGATGTTCTATGGATTGGGAATTTTCTTTGGAACACAAATTTTAGTATTAGGTCATGGATCAAAGCATACACCATGGGCCAACAGCTTGCCTTTGGGATCTATTCCTTGAACCCTCCGCAAGACTGTCTCTTTTGGGTGAACAGAAAGGAGGAGGCTTCGGGTTAATGTCTTGACTCACCAACTGTTCCTCGGGCAGCATTTGCCTCATCAGGACCTCAGATTCCTGATAACATGGTTGACTTTCCTGAATGGGCTTTGTCTTGCAGAAGATGCAACTCCATGGGTCCCTGAGAGGTTGAGCATATAGTGAACACGGGCAGATTCTATAAATCAGTCACTGTTCCTACAGGTGGCAAAAGTCCTCTGCTCAAGAATGAATGGTGGTTTCCACGAGGTACCTAATTTCTCTCTTGGAGGCCTCTGCACTCAGAGATCCATTAGGGCTCAATAAGCTTGCCCTTCCATAGACAGTGGTAGCAGAGGTGAGTCTATTGGGTGAAAAAAGCATACCTCTTCCACAATAGTGGTACCTGTGAGTGATGAAATCTCATTCACCTCATGAGCTTGATAATGAGCTCTGTTGTCAAAATCAAGTATTTGAAATGAGATTCTTTTTTTTTTTGAATTGGTTTTTTCACTTTATTTTATTTTATTTTTATTTTTTATTTTTTTATTTTTTGAGTTGGAGTCTCACTCTGCTGCCCAGACTAGAGTGCAGTGGCCGCTCCCGGCCACCACAGCCTCGACCTGCTGGGCTCCGGCGATCCCTCTGCCTCAGCCTTCTGAGTAGCCGGAATTACAGGCGCGTGCTACCATGCTCGGCTAATTTTTTGTTGTTGTTGTAGAGATGAGGTCTCACCTGCCCAGGCGGGTCTCGAACTTGCGGGCTCAGGTAATCCACTCACCTCAGCCTCCCAAAGGTGCGGGATTACAGGCTGAGCCACCGAGATTCAGCCACCGGCTGAAATGAGATTCTTAAGCACTGGAGTCTTGGGTAAGACTCCACAAGTCAATCAGATTATAGTAAACATCAGAAGACCAGTTCTTTTTCTCAACTTTTCTGGGAAAGCACAGAGCACAAAGCATAGGCATTTTCTCTTTTGGCGTGGTCATGTCTATACCTAGAGTCTGAGCTATAGAAACTTCTTGGAAAAGAAATCTACTGACAGGGTATCAGATATCTTTCAATTGCCCCAAGATTCATTCTGCAACCTTTTCTACCAGGCTCCCTATGCTGGAAGGCTCTCAATAATCAAGTGAACACAGTAACCCATCCTAGTGATCCTCCTTGGCTACCCAGTGCTTGCTCAAGGAACATATTACAAAACACTCATGGTGCAGAGATGGCAACTATAGATGGGCTTGACAAAAAACGTTGAAATTTCTTCTTCCTTTGCAGATTGTCCAACTGGCCAAAAGTATAGGTTCATGTTGACACCCTGAAATGATGCCCTGGGAGCAGATGGATCACATTAGCCTTCTCCATTATGGAAGGAAAATGCTCTGCCCTCCTAGGGACAGACATGTTCCTAGTAGAGAATACCTTCTTGTCCACACCAATTCTGCCCACGACACTACTCACAGGATGCTTAATTTGTCTCCATGGTATCCTGCACACCATCATGTCTGTCCAAAGACACATTTTACAGCAAAGGAAGTGTAGCAGTGGGCTCACACCTGCAGATTTCACAGGTCTTATCATATGCCCTGTGACCCAGAGTCAGTTGGCTTCCGAAAGCACTTTACAGCACTAGCTTTATCAGCTCTGTGATGTTTTCACGATAGTTGGCATATGCTTTAATCCAACAATGAAGGTATAATGGCATCACCCCATTAGAGTGCACGGTTCTGGGAACCAAGTAGAGGGGATGAGGGTGACACTTGTTACTAGAACACTTAAAAACCACTTGAAGGGTTTTTGCTTCCTGTTAATCTGCCACTGCCAGCACCATTAAACAACAACTCTGGATAATACTTCTCGATCTGGATACTAAGAATCCTGCTCCCTCTGTGCTAAGACACCTAAACAACCAGAGACTGAAACTATGCAGACGGTATATGCATGGCTGCAAGAGCTGTACCACAAGAAAAAAGAGCTGGGGTTGGATGCATGTCTTACTCACTTCTCAGTTTCCACAGGTGGAATGTGGCAGTTCTCATGAAAGGATTTTGGACAAGTATCACAGCAGAACAGGCGTCCCCATTTGTGGCACACTTCACATACATTTGAGTTTTCTGGCTAGAAGAGAAGATGATATAGACATCACTGGGATTAGTGAGATTCTGGGACTCTAGAACACATGGCCTTTGCATAAACCAGGTGACACTTGTAAATTTCTTTTCTCAAAATATTAAGAAACAGCATTGAGTAAAGATTTCAGAAGATATTTTGGTCAGCAGCAAAAGTCAGGAGATGGTGATTGTGTGTCCTACAATAAAAATTTTCTGCATGAAAACAGATTCTAGCCAGGCGCAGTGACTCATACCTGTAATCTCAACATTTTGGGAGGCAGAGGTGAGAGGATTGCCTGAGTCTAGGGGTTTGAGACCAGCCCAGGCAACTTGGTGAGACGTCATCTCTACAATAAATCAAAACATTTGTTTTATTTATTTTATTTTATTTTATTTTTTATTTTTATTTTTTTGAGTTGGAGTCTCACTCTGTCGCCCAGACTGGAGTGCAGTGGCCGCTCCCGGTCACCACAGCCTTGACCTGCTGGGCTCCGGTGATCCTTCCGCCTCAGCCTTCTGAGTAGCCGGAATTACAGGCGCGCGCTACCACGCCCGGCTGATTTTTTTATTTTATTGTAGAGATGAGGTCTTGCTGCCCAGGCGGGTCTCGAACCCGTGGTCTCAGGCATTCCACTCACCTCAGCCTCCCAAAGGCGCGGGATTACAGGCTGAGCCACTGAGCCTGGCATTATTTTATTATTTATGCATGGTGGTGCATGCCTGTAGTTCCAGCTACTTGAAAGGCTGAGGCAGAAGGATCACCTGAGCCCAGAAGATCAAGGCTACAGTGACTGTGAGCATGCCATTGCACTACAGACTGGGAAGCAAAGTGAGACTCTTACTCAAAAAAAAAAAAGAGAGAAAGAAAAAGAAAAAAAAAAGAAAAAGGAAAACAGATTCTGATAGAATTGAGAAACAAAATTAAGATGAATTAAATATTATCTGAGCAATTTATTATTTTGTCGGCAAAACTTGGAATAGGGTGTCTTTTCTAACTGTCTACATTGTATCATCTAAATTACCTTAGCAAAGGGTGATTTTCTAATAATTTAATATAATGGAATAAACTTCTGAGATATCACCGCATCCCATATATATTCTTGCCATAAACTCCCCATGCATTGAAGAAAGGGCCTGGGAAGGAGTTCCTGGACATGGGTTCCATATCTGGAGAGCTCCTGGCCTGCCTCTGGGGTAGAGAAACCATGGGTACAGATGACCAGGTGAGCACCATGGAGTGCAGAGTTCTTTGGCTCTGGGATCTTGAAAGAAGATTTCCCATGATTTGGTTAATTTGGCATGTTAAGGTATTGTAATTTTTCTTCATCTACAAATTCACTATATGAAGAAAAGACAAAACAGTCACATATATGAGAAAATTCTTGACTGCAAGAGGTATCTTGCCCAAGTGCTCCCTTTCAGTGGGAGAACTTGTATCGCCTATTAGGAGCATCGTTGGGCATATCTCCACAGGGGGCTAGAGGTGGCCTGGCATGGGGCCACATAACTGCTCTTCCTTTTTGTCATAACAATAAGACTCATGGATGCTGACCACTATTTTTGGGCTGCTGGGTCAAAGTTTCTGAGCCATTATTCTTTTTTTTTTTGAGTTGGAGTCTCACTCTCCTGCCCAGACTGGAGTGCAGTGGCCTCTCCCAGCCACTGCAGCCTCGACCTCCTAGGCTCCGGCGATCCTTCCACCTCAACCTTCCGAGTGGCCAGAATTACAGGCATGTGCTACCATGCCCGGCTGATTTTTTTATTTATTGTAGAGATGAGGGCTCGTCAAGTTGCCCAGGCGAGTCTCGAACCCGTGGGCTCAGGCAATTCACTCACCTCAGCCTCCCAAAGCGCAGGATTACAGGCTGAGCCACCCAGCCAGGCTCTGAGCCATTATCTATAAGATATACTGCAAGTGGGCCCTAAGAAAGAATAAATAACACAGGCAAATCCCATGCTTAGAGTTTCATTGTCCAGGAAGCCTGCAAACTTGTGCATGTCTCCTTAATCTTTTGAGCAAGAAATTTTTTCTTTTGTTTAGAAGTGGTTATCAGGCTGCTCTACAGTAGAATTCACTGGGAACATTTAAAAAATTTTGAATGCCTATGGCTCCATCACCAGAGACTTTGATTTAGTTAGTCTGGGTTGGGCATAGGCATCAGTATGTTTTCAACATTGCCTAGACAGTTCTACCATGCAGTCATTACTGGAGATCTCTAGTGTCTAAAGCAGCAGTCTCTGGACCAGTAGCAGCATCATTGACTTTTGTTGGAAAGTTTCTAATTTGGGCTCCAACCCTCACTTACTGAATCAGGAGCCCAGGGATAGGGACCAGCCGTCTGTGGTCCATCAAGCCTTCCAGGTGATTCCAAAGGACCCTATAGATTGAACTGCACTGTTCTACAACTCAGAACTTTGGTTGTGCTGAAAAACACCACGGGAGTTTTGGAAATATCGATTCTCAGATAGCAACTCAGATCAATTCCATCAAAATCTTGAGGGTGGGACCCCAGATGATTGCAATGGGCAGCCAGGGTTGAAAAACCCACGTTCTAAAGTGATTTCTCTGATGCAAAAGCTAGGAAGTCACAACTAGAATCATTATTAGCCTATAAATTTGTCACAAGAAAGGCTATAAAAAGGGGTGAGGAATTCCTTGTTGGAACAGTTGTGTTTTCATCTTCACAGAGGGCTTGACTGTGGACTGTAAGAAATGGGTCTTTGGGGTCTGTCTCAGTCATCAGACAAGTTATGCAGACTCCAGAGATGAGAACTGTTCAATGACTGAAGGGTCCCACTTCCAGCATAAGAACAAAAGCAGTGTGGATGGATCTAGATTTTGCTAGGGAAGTGCATTTGCTAGGAAAAAAGCATTGCATCCCCTTTTCTATCTCCTCTCAATTAGTGTCCTCTATCAGTCCAACTACATGGAATTTTTTTTTTTTTTTTAGAAAGCAGGCTTTATTGAGAGGACAGAAAAGCTACCACAGTAAGAGGGGACCCGAAGAAGTTGCCCTGCATGGAATTCTTACAGCGAGAGGTGCTCCTTGCAGTTGTACAAAATGACTGATTCTGCCGAAAATGTTCATCTCGTTGCAATGAAGGGAATCAAAGTATAATTTTGTTTATAGAGGGGAATCATTCATGGTTTTGGCAGATCCCGAGGCAGGCAGCCATGCAGCAAGCAGAGAAAGGACAGTGATAACCTATAGGTCACATCAGAAAATTTACTTTAAAAGTAAATAAATTTCCAAATTAATCCAACTTGGGAAGGTCTTGTGACTCATGATGACATCCTGTCCTTGAGTAAAGAATCTTATCATGAGTCCTTCAAATGGTTGACATGCTGATTAATGCATAACCTACTGACACTAGAAAGAATGATAATTTATTTCTGGACCATAAAGTTTTACTGATTGTCTCGCATGTAGGCATTTTAGCCCATGCGTTGCAATCTGTATTATAACCTCTATATTGTACTCCCCCGTGAAAAAGGACATGTCTGGTATGAGGTGTCCCTCTCCTTTCTCCTAACCTTCCCTATAAATGTATCTCAATTTGTAACAGACTCCGGAACACTCCCAACTTTGTTGGTGTGTTTTCCCAGGTTGGTTTTCACATTTGATTTCCAGTAAATCTTTATCAAATTATTTATTCCTCAACAGCCTTAATTTTTATTGGCAATGAGGCCTATGGAATCAGAAGGTTTGCCATTTTTGAGTGCTAGTCAAACAGAGTAAAAATGCCCCATGATTTGCTAAGTGGTGATGGTTTCAATCCTAACTAACTCAGCACCCTGATGGCTTCCATAGGACTAGCCATAGGGACTCCATAAGGACTCAATTTCCCTGTGTGCACGTCTTTGCACAACTAATGACAGGGTCCCACACCCTGAACTTGTCGGCTTGGCCCAGCCTGTTTCTGGCTGATGTTTAAGAACATCTTGAACTCTGCCTGCACCTTAGAATGTTTTTTTTCAGATTTTCCTTTCCATCCCCACCACCTACTAGAAAACCTGTTAATCTCTGGTATTTGCTCCTACCTTTTAATCAGCAGGCCAACCCTATACATGACCACTTCAAGCTCCATCTTTAGAGACTCCCGTGGTCTAGAGCTTGGCTTCCTACACTCACTATCCAGGGGAAATGAGGAAATGGGAAGGTTTCTACTGAAACAAATGGAAAGAATGCTTTCACACGGAAACACCCAACCTCAGGCCCATCTACCTGGCTTGAGTGGTGCATCTGGCATTCTTTGCTCATCACACACAACATAGTTAAACGGAGAATGAGCATGCTTCAAGGGAAAGTAGTAAGGACATAGATAACATAGTTAGGGGACCACATGTGGTCATAGTTGGGAATTTGTACTTACACAAGGATCAACTAAGGTATTGTTCGGAGACTTCAGTATTTTCTGCTGAAAAGACAGAAAGACTGAGTTATAATATTGAATGTGATTTTTTGTTAACTTGAGCAGATTTTAAGGTATTCATGCCACAGCCACCTCTTTGCTTCATGTCTGCTTTTATAAGCCTACAAATCTAACTAGAAAATAATTTTTAAAAAACCCAATAAATTATGTCAGTGATAGTTTGGCCCAGTGTAAGTTCCCTTCCCTGACTCTCAGACTCAAGGTAGGCCTCTGTAAAGTCATGCAGAAGCACTGAGCTGGAGAAACTCTATTGGTTCTCCTACTGTGAGGGACCCACAGGCATGTTTCTTTAAATTAGGAAGTGCCATCCCAGCCAGAGAAGCTGCAAAGGGAATCAGGCTGAGTACATTCCCCACAGCCCCCAGTGACCAGAGTGCCAAGAGATCCAGAGGTCATGCAGTGCCCCAGCATAGAGTTTTACTGATTTCTGCAGCTCCCCGCAACACAGCCATGAAGATAAAATGCTTCCAAGGTACCCAGTCCTGAAGGTAAGTGCCTCTCCTTTCTCCTGGATCCTGAGAGTTCACATTGACCTTGGATATCTGTGGAATAATAGACTTTTTGCAGTCTGGAACAATGACTGCTTTTACCTTCAGCCTAGGGCAAAGAAACCATAGACAAACCATCCAGTGTGATCCAAGGCACAATGATAGGGGAGGTAGCCTTGTCACTGACTAACTCTCTGAGTGGCCTACATCGTTCTTGGCCTTTTGACTAAGATCAAGTGTAGTATCTGAGTGACCTAGAATCTCCTACCCCTACACCATTAGTTATTCCTCTGGGTAAGAAAATGAGGTTTACCCAAGCTTTGAGCTCTGTTCCCTAGGCCTCCTTTGCATTGCCTTATTTCATTGGCCTAGACCATCACCTGGAGCTCTGTAGTTGCTCTAAGGTTGTTTGTTGAATGAATACACAAGTGCATGAACACGTGAACACAGTTGTCACTCAGGAGAAGAGGTTTCTTAACAGCCAGTAAATGATCTGCTTGGACTTTTATATTTTATTATCCCAGAGCACCTCAGCAATCACCAGTAGGTTTAACAGGAAACTTATAAGAAGGGAAGCTACCAACAGCAGTACCTGCTACGTGGTGATGAGAGTAACACAAGCATCAAAAGTCAAGGGACTGGGTAAGGAAGACAAATTTGGAGAGACCCTCTGAGAAAGGAGGCAGTTACATCTCTAAAGCTGTGTACCCAGGGAATGGCGAGGGGGTACCCATAATGAAGGCCTGGGAAAAGGCCTTTTTTTTTTCTCTAGAATACACACAGCATGAAGACCACTGGTCCATGAACTCCTCATACTACTTCCATGGAGGGCGAATACACCTTCATACATGGAAGTGAGGTCAGCACAGCCTTTCTGGTGGGACCAAAGGGTCTCTCCACAAAGGAATTTTCCAGGTTAGCCCCTTTACAGAGCACTTCTGTCTCCCAATTAAAAAAAAAAAATCCCTTGGCCGGGCTCAGTGGCTCAGCCTGTAATCCCAGAGCTTTGGGAGACCGAGGTGAGTGAATTGCCTGAGGCTGTGGGTTTGATACCCGCTTGGGCAACTTGGCGAGATCTCATCTCTACAATAAAAATAAAAAACTAGCCGGGCGTGTGGTAGCGCATGCCTGTAGTTCCAGTTACTTGGAAGGCTGAGGTGGAAGGATCGCCGGA